GGATAATTGCTAATAAAAATAAACAAATGGCCATCCCCATTCAGCGCTTGTTTTAGTGGGTTTTGGAAGAGAATTGTCAGGAATGTGGAATCTTTCTGATCCCAGTTTGGTGCTTCAAGCATTTGGATGTTACATTATACTGAAAAATGGGATGTATCTGTGGTTCCTTCACTTAATTAACAGGGCTTTATTTGCAGTATTTTGGGAGTACAGCTGAATAATAAGACAGTGATATGTAATTAAAGTTTGCCATTCTACCAGAGGAGCTTTAAACCTATGCTTCAGGAATAGAGATTTAAGACATTGTTAATTAGTTGAAATGGCTTCTGTTGGAAGGTAATACAACCAGTTGGGAAACTAGTTAATTAAACAAATAATTAAGGGGCAAGGGAGTATTTTTTTATGACCACAACACATTTCATACTTTAAAAATGAAGATATGCTTCTGAAAGTATCTTCCTTGTTATATGGCAAGCCAATACAAACTCTGAATATAATAAAAATGTATCAAATGTGGAAGGTGAAAAGAGGTGGGTTTTTACACATATTGGCAAATCTAGAAAAGGTATTTCCAATCTTACAGTACAGAGTCCCAAATAATTGCAAAGTTTTTTCCCCTTTGTAAGAATAATCTCTGCTTAATAACTGAGGCCCAAAAATTCTAGTTTTAGTTGCATTTTCACTGAATTTCCTCATGGAATTTATATATATATATATATATGTTTTCTGCTTTCTGTCCTCAACATTTCATTTTCTTTGTAGTTGTGTTGTTTATGATGATAAGATAACCACATCAGTAGAGGAGCGATACCAAAGGCTGCAATACAGGCAGGATTTGTGCATATATCAGAGAAATTGTGCCAGACATTTTGAAGACTGAAAAATATATTTTAGGTAGATTTAAGTAATCCTGGACTACTTCTTCATGCTTGAAACCAATTTTTACACAAGGTTATAGGCCATTGTCTGTAAGGCTTGCCTCTTCCATTTATTTAATGTGGCAGAAAAGTAAATAGTCTCAGATTATGTCTTGTTTTTTGTTTTTGTTTGTTTGTTTTTTTTTCTCACAGAAGTACTTCAATTTATTGATGACTTCGCAAGGGCAGAATACTACACAGAAGCATTTAATTCCCAAACTGCTTGCATGTATATATGCAAAATGAGGTTGGGGGGGAAAACCTGGCTCATACTGATATTCCTTTTTTTTTTTCTTTCTCCTTCCCCCACCATCCTTCAACCAATACTTGACCATGCAGGTTTTAGATGCAAGTCTCCCAGTACCTGATGTCAATGAAGGCAGTTCAGAACGTGATGCCTCACCCCAGGAGCTACAGCAACCAGGAGGTGTTACAGCACCTCAGAAGCTGGATGGGCAGCAGCTGGGGGCAGCTCCAACCCTCCAAGAACCATCTGAAGAGCAAGCAGAGCATGCTGAAACAACTGGTAAGTAAAAAAAACCTTGTGTTCAGTGGACAGATCATGGGGGCCTGGATTCTAAATGGAGTGAGATGCTGAAATGAGGCCCAACTGACCATCTCCTAGTGAACAGTTAGCTACTCAAATGAGCTCTTGGTTGCTCAAGTGCTTCTTCTATGGTGGTGTTTTATCTACACATAGGACACATTCTCTGTATATCAGAGTTTAAGATAACACATGGCTTGTAGATTGATGATGTCCATTTCCCTTATGAGCAGTTTTCTTCCCTCAGTGCACTTTGTGGTGCTTCTGCTTGTCTGTTGCCAACCCCTCCACCATTATTTCCCCTAAAAGAACAGCTCAGTTTCCACTTCTGATGTTAGAAGTTTCTGCTGCATAGGCCTGTCTCATCCTCTTTAGGGCAGAAATCCTTTTATGTTCATTCATTAGTGATATTCATGTTAATAAACTATTTTGATCTCACAGGGACAGGCCGCAGATCCACTGGCTCTACCTTGTTTAAAGTTCCCTATCCTACTATGTTTAATGAGATTTGCATTTAACCACCGAGCCTTTCTCACTGTGGGCACCCCCATCTGCCCTGTCCTAGGAATCCGTCTTCCTTTGTTGCACGGCCAGCAATGTGCTGCTCTCTCTTGTGCAAACGGTCACCTGCCCCTCTGGGCCTTGCTGCCCCTTGGTGCTCTCCCTTCCTTCAGATCCTGCTGGCAGCCACGTGGTAAGAGACACGCTTTGGCCATCCGTCTGCACCTTGACCCTTCAGGCAGGGGTGGCAAAAAGAAGGGATGTTTTTTGCTCACAGCAGGGAACTAATTGTGGTGTGGGAGAGCAGGGCAGGGATGATGAAGGGGTAGGATAGAGCATGTTTTCATTGTCAGCCTGTAGAGCAGCTTATGGCAGCTGTGTAGCCCTCAGTGGCCTTTGGGTTTCAAATGAAGGATGTAGAGCTGTTGGAGGAGGAGGAGGAGAGGCCATGAAGGTGATCAGAGGGCTGGAGCACCTCTCCTGTGAAGACAGGGTGAGGGAGTTGGGGTTCTTCAGCTTGGAGAGGAGAAGGCCTCTGGGAGACCTTATAGCAGCCTTCCAGTACCTGAAGGGGCCTACAGGGGGGGACTGGAGATGGACTTTCTACAGGGGCATGTAGCTATAGGATGGGGGTAATGGCTTTCAACTGGAGGAGGGTAGGTTTAGGTAAGTAACAAATTCTTCACTGTGAGGGTGGTTAGACCCTGGAACAGGTTACCCAGGGAAGTTTGGGCTTCCCTGTTCCTGTAAGTGTTCAAGGCCAGGTTGGGGCTCTGAACAGCCTTGTCTAGTGGGAGGTGTCCTGCCCATTCAGGGGGGTTGGAACTGGGTGATTTTTAACATCCCTTCTGACCCAAACCATTCTAGTAAAAAATTATCTGCCATGCCTCAGATTAATTGTGGTAACACCATTATCCCAAAAGGTTGCCATATTTTATGCTGGGCTTTTGTGCTTTCTTTGTTATCATATTGGTAGAGGCTGTTGGCACTGTAAAAATGGGATGCAGCATGTTTTATCTTTCACTCATGATAAACACTGCTTCTCTTTAAAATTCTACTCTGGAGTAGATGGGGCTGGAGAGAGGATACTTATTAGACAGAGTCATGAAGAAAGAAAATACCTGATGATTTGACTTAGTGTCAGTAGATTTTATGTTGGTGTTCAGCTTCTGAATCAAGTTGCAGAGAAGGATTTTAAAAGGACATTAATGTCAAGTTAATAGTAAAAGATTGTATTTATTGTTGAACAGTTCTGGGTTGTCTCTTAAGTTGTACAGAAATTGTGTTTCTAGGGTGTGTAATAAAGAAAAGGTGAGAAACTCCCTTTGAATGCACGTAATTAAATGTGACCAAATGCGTGATGTGATATGGCCATACATAGCAGTAGGAATTTGTATGTCAGTAGATTGCTTGAAAAGACTTTGCTTTATTTGATAATCATCCTTCATGTGATTGTGAAATGTTGCTGTTTTAATCGGGATTTATTTTACTGTTGTTAGTGGAACAAAGCCTACATGGTAGCATAATTTATGTGAAAGGCAAAGCAGTTCTACCAGTTTGCTCTCAAAGGAAAAAAACTCATTTATGGAGGCAATGCAGCATGTTTTCTGGTAGCAATAAGTGGAAATTACGCCATTCTTAGAGACAAATAAAACCTATCTGTCAAGTATTGTAAAAATGGCTCTTCAAGTAATGACCACGTTCAGGTATTCCTAACTGTGTCCAGCTGTCTGGACCTCATAGAGTTTGGTCCATGTTTGTTTAGGCAGATGAAGAAAGGTGAGGAAGAAGGCTCTTTTAAATACTCAGTGCAGAGAAATCTCTCCACATAGTGTAGAGCTAAAATGCTATGTCTCTTTCATGTTACCCACTCATTCTTTATTTCATCTTGTTGGCAAAATTTATAAAATCACAAATAAAGTATCATGACATTGAGCACTGAGCTAACATAGTAATTGTTTATGGTGAAGGAATGTTTGATTGAAGGTTTTATTGTCTTGGTTGATTTGTTTGTTGTTGCCATTGTTATTTGAATCTTGCATTTGAAAGACCATTTGAGGGATGATCCAGACTCACTGAAGTTGCCACCACCCTGTTACATTAACTGGGAATCCTGTTGGTTGCTTGCAGTGAGAGTCACTGGTAAAGGCTGTATGGCTGGCCTGTGTATCTGTGTATCACCAGAACTTTGGAGATATCTATCATAATCCATAGAAATATTCTTACTATAATAGGAGGTCACCTGTATCGGATACTGATCCTTTACATTTTATTTCATCCTATTGCATCTCTTTTTACTAGCAATGGGAGATGCTGGAGTTTCATGTTACTATACTACAATATCCAGAGTAATATGTTCTGAAACCCTTGGCAGCAGAATTTGGGACAATTTATAATGTAATTAGGTTGTAGAGAATTCCAATTAAAAAAACCCAAACAGTGCAACAAAAGAAACCTCAGCCCCTAAGTGACTATTAATAGGCAAAGGAGCAAATGTTTCAGTGTGGAGAAATCAAAGTGTTTCATATGCTTTTAGTTTATGGTGGTTAAACTATTTAGGGCTTTTAACTAGCATCTGTTGAAGTTTGATCTGGATACTTTGTGCAAACAGCACCAAAAAGGCGTCACGAAAACGGGAGCTGAGCTGGTCTCTTGTTTAGCAAGTGGCTGTTTCCAACTGCAGAGCCTGCACCTCCGCTTTCCAGAGGAGCTAAAAAAATCAACAACTTGGAAGTGACAGTTTCAAGACGGATGTCATTTTGAGGCAATAATGGTTGGAATCGCCGTGATGGGAAGGGGGAAGAGCTGAGCCCCTTCCGCGGGGGCGGGGCCTCAGAGGAGGCGGGGCCTGGGGCCTCGGGGCGGGGCCTGGGGCCTCGGGGGCGGGGCCTTGGCCCCCCGGGCTGCCCCGCCCCTCCCCTCGGGCCGGTCCCGGCCTCGCTCCGCGCCCGCTGCGCAGGGAGGAGGAGGAACCTCAGTGTGGGGAGAGAGTTTCTCACGATCAGTGTGTCGTGTCAGAAGTGCTGGGGACCGTAACGATGACGGGTAAGGCAGCGCGGCGTTGCTAACGTGTAAGCGTTCATTTATTTATTGCTGTTTTCTCTCTGCCGATAGCGCTGTCTCTGTGTGCCACGGCTGGGGACTGGGTGCTGCTGCAGCAGCGCTGTGGGTTGCTGTGCTCATGCTGGAGTGCTCCTTCACCTCTCCGCAGTGCTGCTTTACTTGACCTGGGTTTCCTGGCGGTGCGTGAGGAGTTAGAGTCTGGGTTACATATTTGCATCGCCAGGAGAGCCGCTTCTGAGTGGAGGTTGCTGACATTTTAAAATTTCTTGTCACCTCAATCGGAAGCTTGATGCTGTACTTGTAATACAAGGCTTTTGTAAATTTGAAGATGCTAACTAGGTTTTCTCCTGCAGTACCAGAATATGACGTAGTATCTGAAACTGAGGAACAGAAAGAAAAGGTAGTGACCACATTGGCAATGCTATTTTGTGTTAATCAAGAAATAATGCAGTAAAATATCTTAAGAGCTAAACATGGTGCAATTGAAGAAAATGCAGAAGTGGGCATTGTTTGTAAGTTGTAGAAATATTGGCATGAGTGAAATGAAACTGTTGCTCTCTAGCTGTTTTAATTTTAATATAGCAAAATCTAGAGGAGATTAACACCGTGGCAGGGTGTGGGTGTGTGTGTACATGTGTATGTATGGCAGGGGCATCCCAGCTGCTGATGGCAAAAACTTGACACTGTGTGCGTTGAACTTTGTTCATCTTAGTTATTAAAGTGCGTGAGCCACTTAAGTGTGAGAGCTAATGCCATGAACTAATTGGGCTTTCTGGAAAGATAGCAATATTTGGACAAGCAAAGATTTAAAAGGAAAAAAACATGATCTTGCACTGCCGGCTTTGCACAAACAGGGTCTTTCTCTGGGAAACAAAGCGGCACTATGACATTTTGAAAAAGAAAAGCAAGACTATTTTTCCTAAAGGTAACTCATTTGCATCAGAATTTCTCTCTGAGATGATGTCTTTAGCAATCCAGGAAATCTTATTAATTTAATTGTATTAGTGGCTTATATTTTATTTGCTGGAGCTAGTGAATGGATTCAACAAATAGTGGGGGTTATTCATGCAAAATGCTTCAGGGTTACAATACATACCGACAACAAAGCCTGAAGAAGTCCAGCTCTGTTGGAGCTGACCCTGGGGAGGACTGTACGTGATTTGAATCAGTTAGCAGGGGAGGAGATATCCTACCGCCCTTTACAATAGGGGTTTCATTAAACTTGATGTTTAATGAGCTTATCACATGCTGAGTCCTTTTCCTCAAGGGTTCTCTGTTTTTTTTATTTCCTTTTATTGTTAGTAATTAAAGGTTAAACTGTTTTTCAAAAGCAGTATCTTTATAGGGTTGCACAGTTTGATCGTTTGGGGTTTTCCTTATTTAATAATTCTTGTGGAAACTTAAATTTTCACTGAAACATGTTTTTCACTGCTTTATTGTACTTTTTCAAGAACTGAATCTAGCTCAGTACAAGTTACTATTTCTTTCAAAGGACAGAGTACCTTTGCTTACTGGTATGTGGGAGTGTCTAGCTATTGTGTGTCTAATTCCTGCAGATGCAGCTACTACTTCTCCTTTGTGATGAGTTTGTCCGTGAAGCTTATATTACCCTTTATGCCGTTGTTTTGTTAAAGATAATTTTCAATCTGTTTTTCATTGTATCTTGTAATTAGGGGTTCTCTAAAATGTCCCGGCGTTTGCTGACCTATATTGCTTATCTCATCCCTGTACCTAGAGGAGGAGATTCCACACCCCCCTTGAATAGCCCTGTGCTAGTGTTTCATCTGTCTCGGGCTCAGTGAATACATTTTATTTTAAAAAGCAGAACATGAGACATGAACAGCATGGGTAACCATGAAAATTCATTAATATTTACAGCATGCTGGTTTGGTTCCCAAGCAGAACAGCTGGACTGGTTTGAGAGCACTTTATTATTGTGAGCTCATTTAAAGAAGAATCTTTAACGGCAGTTACTGTATATCCAAGCCATAGCTAATGACCCTTAAGGATTAAAAAAACCCCAAAACTTTTAGAAAAATGTTACCGATTTGGTTTTTAACATTATTTTTACTGTTGTTTCTTGAAACATTCAAATGAAAAAAAAAAAAAAATAAAATCTTAACATCTTGAATGAATGAAAGATACAACTTCCCTTGCTGGAATTTGAGAAATTGGTGTGTAGGTTGGAGCAGGCAAGTACAGCTAAAGCAAAATCTTCTAAAAATAAAGGTCTGTGAGGAATGTTACAACATCACAGTGGAAATAATTATGCTTTCTTTTAAGTTACTTTTATATGAGGCTATGTATGGTGTCCTTTTCTGAGGTTGTTGCTTTTGCTTTCTTAAGGAGTTGTAAGCCATGAAAAATTACAGCTATTTTGCATCCTCCTCCTTTTTTCTGTGTTTAAAAATGGACTCTAAAGTATGTGAGATTTTAAAACTTAACTCTTCAGTTACTAGTCGAGTACCAGGAACTGAAGACTAGGAACCCAATGGTGTTTGTTTCTAAAGCTTTGAAAGAGTAACAGGGTTAGAAAGCTCAAGAGTTGTGTGTGTGCACTGTGAAATTTAGTATGCAAAAAGCTTTGTAGGTCCTCCCTCATTATTTAATTACTCTGAAAGAACTCACTCCCCGCAATTAACATAGTAAGTCAGTATTCAGAAATAATGAAGTGAATAGAATGGGGGAGGAAGTAGTATGTTTCACATGAAAGAA